ACTTAATCCACTTTGGGAAGAGGCTGGTTCCCGGAACGCTTCTTGAAAGACATGTCTGAGCTAAACGGTAACATTATTACCATGGTAACAATATAACTAAGCTAAACAGTAACGTTATTTATTAATAGCTTACTGAGGAAGCCCTTTTAATTCTCACAAGCATACAAATAAGTGTGTAATTTGCAATTACTGCTCTTTGGCATGAAAGATCCTCATTTTACAGATGAATAAATAACTCAAGAGTTTACATACCCTGTATGTAAAAGACTTAAGATTTGAACTTGAACTGGCAGATCCCCAAGCCTTGGTGCTATACTTAAAAAGTTGAGCAGACTTAGTCTAGAAAAGATATGAGTGTGAGGGACGGGGCGGGCTAGGGAAGTAAGGTTCCCAGGAAAGGCAAGTAATAATATGAGCAACAGTGAGAACACACAAGGTACAGCTCGAAAAAGGAATGAAATGTCACTGGGTCTCAAGTTCTTCACAAACTACACGAAGGCATAAGGGAGGCAATTAGCCTTTGTCAGGCCCTTCTTTACGCAAACCCTTTTGCAAGTTGCTTTCCGTATGTCATTTCCTTAATCCTCACAATAACCTAGGAGTAGGCAAGAGGATTCAATTTTATAGATGATACAATGGCTTTGCGCCACCAGAGCTCTTTACAACACAAATGGTCCCTCCGAGTGAGATTTAGAGGTCATTCGCAGCCCTCGAACCCAGCCCCATGCTCAAAACATGTTCGTTTCTCCTCTCCTTTCAGTTACTCCTATTTCCTAGAAATCAATATACAAACAAAAATATTCTATCCTGGAACTCAGAGGTCTTAAAAAAAAAAAAAAAAAAAAAAAAAAAAAAAAAAAACGAATAAGGTCCATATACCGCCGGAAAAGCGTTCCCCACGCAAGTCATACCACACCTCCTTATTGACAGGTTTCTTAATGGCCATTAGAAAAAGGACAAAATGGTAGTGCAGTTAGAAAGTAGAAGGCTTTCTACAGTTTTCCATTTTAAGATTATAGTTTGATGCATATACACCTGTGAACCCACCACCAAAATCAAGATCTACTATTTTGATTACTCCAGAAAGTTCCCTCATATTCCTTTGAAGGCAATCCCCACTCCAGCCCCCATAACCCTCAGGCAACCACTAATCTAATTACGTTACTGTGGACTAATTACGTTTGTTGTAGATACTCATATAAATGGAATCATACAGTATATATTCTATTGTGTAGAGCTTATTTTTACTCAGCATGGTGTTTTTGAGATTCATCCAAACTGTTAACAACTGTTTGTTCATTTTTATTGTTGAGCTGCATTCCGTTGTTTGAATATATCAAAATTTGTTTATTTCAATCGTCTGGTGATGAGTATTTTGGCTGTTTCTAGTATGGGACTACTGTAAATAAAGATGGCATGAACATTTGTTCACAAGTCTTTGTGTGGACAAATGTATTCATTTCTCTTAATATGGAGAAGTAGGGTTGATGGATTGATTGTATGGTTTAATTTTAAAAGAAACCACCAAACTCTCTTTCAAAGTGGTTGTCCCTTTTCCTGGCTGCTTTTAAGAAACTTGCTTTATCACTAGTTTTCAGCAACATCACTGTTTCTGTTTGCTTTGGGTTTTTTTACAGCGTTATTGGTATATAATTTTCACACAATAAACCCCAACACTTAAAGTGAATCATTTGATGAATCTATATATGTGATCGTCACCACAATTAAGATTATAAATATATCACCCCCACAAGTCTCCTTGTGCTCCTTTGTAATTCTTCCCTTCCTCCCCTTTCCCTCACTCCCCAGGCAACCACGGATTTGCATTTCATCACTGCAGATCAGTTTGCAATTTCTAGCATTATATAAATGGAATCACACAGTATGTGCTCTTTTTTTGTCTGTTTTACTTTTTCACGTATCAATGGTTTATTCTTTTTATTGCTGAGTAATATCCTAGCGTATGGATGTGCCACAATTTGTTTATCCATTCAACTACTGACGGACGTTTGGGTTATTTCTAGTTTTGGGCTTATACAAATAAAACTGCTCTCAACATTCACGGGCTTGAACGGACATATGCCTTCATTTCTTCAGGGAAAATCCTAAGAGTGAAATGGCTGAATGTAGAGTAGGCACATGCTTAACATTTTAGGAAACAGATAAGCTGTTTTTCAACATGCTTGCACCATTTCACATTTCGGCCTGCAGTGTCTGAGAGTTCCAGTTGCTGTGCATCCACAGTAACACATGGGCAGACTCTGCAGACGTTCCAGACATTCCAGTGGGTGTGGAAGCATAGCTCACTGTGATCTGAATTTACATCTCCCTCATGACTAATGATATTCAATTATCTCTTCATGTGCTTATAAGCCACTCATCTATCTTCATTAGTAAAGTGTCTGTTCAAATGTTTACCCATTTTTTCCAACCGGGTGATGTTTTTGTTATCACACTGTGAGAGGTCTTTATGTATTTTAGACAATGTCACTTGATAGATAAAGGTTTTGTCAATATCTTCTCTTCATGTGGCTTGACTTTTCATTTTTGTATCTTTTGAACAGCAAATGTTTTCATTTAGATGAACTTCAATTTCTTGACTATTCCTTTACAGTTTGTGCCTTTTGTGACCTATTTAAAAACTCATGCTAAAACAGAGGTCACTAAGATAGTTTGTTTTCTTTCGAAAGTCTTATCGTTTTAACTCGTACAGTTAGATCTAAGATCCACTGAGAGTTCATCTTTGTTTACGGTGTGAGGTAACAGAGGGGGTTCATTTTTGTGCAAACGGATATACAGCTGTTCCAGAGTCATTTGTCGACAAGATTATCCTTCCACTACTGAACTACCTTGGAATCTTTGTCAAAACCCAACTGACTACATGTATGTGTCTATTTCTGAATTCTTCCTTCTGTTCTATTTGATCTGCTTAGCTTCACACCAATAGAACACTATTGATTATCATAGCTTTATAATAAATCTGGAAATCAGGTAGTCTAAATGCCCCAACTTTGTTGTTGTTCTTCAAAGCTGTTTTGGCTATTCTAGGTCCTTTGCATTTCCACACACATTTCAGACACAATTGGTCAATTCTACAAATAGGTTACTGAGATTTTCAATGGGATGGCCTTCTATCTACACATCAATTAAAGCAAAACTGATGCCTTACCAATCCTGACAGTGGGGGTGGTTGCATAACAATGTGAACGTATTTACTGCCGGAAGTGTATGCTTAAAAATCATTAAGATAGTAAATTTTATGTTACATACATTTTACAGTTTTTTTTTTTT